TTTGCTAATCCAAAATCACTATAATTATTATTTAATTGCAATTACAAGTTACAAAACAAATTTAAGTAATTTATTTTCTTACAAATTTATTAAGAACAATTAAAAATATTCTCTACTAAATGATAAGCATTCAACTAATGAAGAAATTAGTAATTAAAAACAAAAGATCAAAAATGTATATTTTTTAGTATGTATTTTTTATTTAGATTATATTCACCACATAAAAGAATTCGCTCTAATTCCAAGTGCACTACTTGGAACTTTATATGTTTTAAAAAAAGAGTATACTGTTTTATTCAAACTGAAGCCAAAAAAATACTCTAAAGGATGGAAAAATGTTCTTCACATGACATTGGGTAAAGATTATGGAACTTATGGTGACAGAAATCCAGGTGTTTGGTTTCATGAAGATGGCTCAGGAAAACTTGCTATTTTTGCTGCTGTGAGCGGTAATGTTAACTATTATGTAGAAACCACTTCACTTCCTTTGAAGGCATGGTCCTATCTTAAAATATATCAAAGTTTTATGGATGGTAAGTATTGGTTTTCTGTTGATTTGAATGGAATCAATATTCATAGAGTTGAAAATACTGATGCCAGAGATTTCAAAACTATGAAGGTTTATGCTTCTGATCCTTGGTATGCTGCGCAAGAAGGATTAATTAATGACCTTTTTATAATTAATGGAAAAGCTGGTAACAATTTTTCTTTTTGCTTGTTTTTTTAAAAATATTTTTAATCAGGTTTTTATCTCATTAATTCATCTTTTATTTAGATTATACACTTTAAATATATTTAGAACTATATTAATAACCAAGCTTGGTAGCCAGAAAAAAAAAACTCGGGCTCCAAGTTTTTTTGAACTTATTGCTTCAGCTTCCACGATTTTTTCTCTGACTCCAGCTCTTGAGACTTTAAATATCTGAAAAGTTCTGGTCACATATTTTATTTATTAAAATTAATAAAAAAACTGATTATGTCATTACCAGCTAGTTCCCAGATGCCGCATAGACGTAAGATACTGCTAGATATCTAATAGACATAGCTAGATACCACATAGATGTAAACTAATTAACAGTCTGTTTCAGAAGTCTACTCCACAAATGATAAATTGAAAATTTAAAATGAGAGGGTTTTGATTTCTTAAAAACATGTATTTTCCAAGTATAAGTATCCATTTGATCAGAGGGTTTTAAGTAAAATATTTAATAATTTTTTTTCTTTTTACAAAAAGTTAGATGTGTCATTATTTCTTTTCTCTTTTTTCTTATGTTGTAGAATACCTAGTTGGTAATATCCATACTCCATTAATTAAAGGAAAAGTTATTGCTGAAATACCCAAACTAGATAAAGAGTACTTAATTTCATTTGATGTTATTCCTAATAAATTTGTTGCTGGTTGGCATAGTGTTGTTCATTTCACAATTGGATCTAATATTGAAAATTATGGTGATAGAGTTCCCGGCATCTGGTTCAATGAAGATGCTAAAGGAGGTCTTCATATTGCAGCACCAATCAATGGAAATGTCAACAGATATTTTAACACAAAACCAATTGGATTAAATGTGTGGTCCAACATAGAGATATCTCAAATTTTAAAAGGTGCTGCGTATGTATACACAATCAAAATTAATGGAGAAATGGTCTTTTTTGAAATAAACAACCAAGCTCAATATTTTGATAATGTGAAAGTATATGCCTCAGATCCATGGTATGAAGTTCAAGATGGTTCAATAAGAAACTTGTTTTTAAGTAATGGCCCATCAAGTAAGTAAATGTTTTTTAACTGCATAAATCACTTTCACATGTTTTACACTATTATTTTATGTGTTATCATATTTACTAGCAAGTGACAAAAAAAGATGCTTGAAAGATATGTAAACAGTATACTTATAGATAGTATGTTTACACATAATGACCTTGTTTTTTCTTTGTTTCAGAGATACAAATTCAGAATCAATAGAGAGTTTTGAAAATAAAAAAAGACAAAAGAGGCCGCTTAATTTCTGGAGTCTCCTTTTTTTTTTTTTTTTTTTTTTTTTAAAAAAGAAAACTTTAGACGGAAATTAAGAGACAAAATTAAGAGACCACTTTTATCTTATGGAGGTGAATACAGTAAAAAAAAAAAAAAAATTACAAGTTATAAGTTATCCTTGCATTTGCATTTGTTTGTATTTTCATTTTGTATTCTTGTATTTTGTCACCAAGTAATCCTAACCAAGTAATGTTTTTAGAATCATTATGTTTTGTTTACTATAAATCAATGATATATTAAATGTCTAACATTGATCCGAAAAGTGAAGCTGCTTTTATCCTTTTTACAAATGGAAGATTAAGTTTGTAAATACTATTTAACGAATAGTATTCAACTTTTTTAATATAATATAATATTATTATAATAAATATTTTGTTTATGTATTTAATATAAAAACATAATACTTAACTTTTCTTTTCTAAAAGTGGAGTAAATATAGTTTAAATATAAATACTATTTATGTAAAAGTGTTAAGAAGAAATTAGAATACTTGTAAAGTAATAATATATGTTTCCTAAATTCATTTCCATTTCCAACCAGAAAGAAATTAAGGTTTTGAATGGAAAAGTGAAATGACAGACGCTTTTGAAGCATTTTTATGGACTATAATACTTTTTAAAAAATTTAGGCTCATAAAAAACTTTTATATTTATTAAAACGTGTTTTTGAATTGTCTTTGATGTATTAGGGACTTTTGATGCTCTAAACTTGTATTTTTAACTTTTATTACACACATTGGCTTAAGCTTTTGCCCTTTTTACAAATTGCTTATAAATTTACTATATTTATAAACAAAAAAAGCGGTTTCATTTTTTATCCAATAAAATCCTGCAAGTTAGACATCTAGTTTATATAATATATCATTGCCATATTTAAGGCCAACAAAATTTGATCAAAAGGAATATCTCAGTTCCGTTTATACATATGTATGAATCCTTAATTGGACGTCTTTTAAGAAAAGGAATCATGCGCCATCTGTATGTTTTTAAAAAAATGGTTTCCTTTCTGTTTATTTTTAATAAAAGTTATTGGTGCTAACTTGTTGAGAATTGTTAAATTTATGTTATAATAAATACCTGCTGTAACTATGGTGTTTTTAATAAGCAGGAAGGATCCAAAAAAAAAAGTGAAATGCTGAATCCAGTATACTGTAATAACAGAAAAAAAAAACATTTTCTCAAAACCATACAGATAGCGATTAGTTCCTTTTGGTTGTCCATTTATTCCAATGTCTTCGTTGTTTGCAAAAAGCCTGAATAAAGTTTCAATTATTTAAATAAAACGAAGTTTATAGAATGCAATTAAAAAGTTAACTTGAGTACATTTAGCAACTTTATAAAAGAAATTTATTTTTAATTAAAATTATGGACTGATTGGTGTTAAATGCTTATAAAGTCAAGCACTTTTCTAAGTTTCACTTACAAGGCAAAGCTCTGCAATAATCATAAAAAAACACTCATAAAAAATGTTTTAAATTGTTGTAAACAAAAATCTTTTCTTTTAAAGAATCTCTTTAAAGAATTGAAGAAATAAAAGCTTCTATTCTTATACAAAAAAATGAAGAAAATATTGCTAAAAAATATATGTTTAAACATGTTTGTTTTATATTTTTTTGTTAATGAATTTTTATTTTATGTATATAGATTTATACCTATGTTTCTATCTTATTTGAAAAAAACCTTCTTAGAGTGGTAGGAAAGTCTTAGTCTTAGAGTCTTAGAGTGGTAGGAAACAGTATAATATAAAATTTTACAGGGAACTAAATTTACTTGTAAGATTTTACATGCTTTTAAATTGGTGTTACTTTAACAGTAACACCCCCTTAAAACCAATCTAGAACATTCTTTTTTGCATTGCATTGTATAATTAGGTGTTCTGCTCTCGTTAAACTATACTTGTTAACTATGCTGTTGGATTACATTATAATCTTTAAAATATTTATTTAAAAATACCATTGCGAACTCACTGAGTTAATTTTTTAGTTAATTGCTTAGTTGCTTAAACATTCTTTGATCATTAAAACTTATTTATTAAATACCCCTTCCTCATCTATTAGGCTGTCACGCACCCCTTCCTCATCTATTAGGCTGGCGCAGATGTATTTTTAATACATTGTTTCCAGTTTAGGATGTTGAACGCTGGATCTTCTTGACTCAATGCGTGGGTATTGCTTGTGTCTCTATTTTTATGACTGGGCAACTCATTCTATTATCTCCTAATGAGGGTACAGCTCTAAAACTCAGTTTTATGGTTCTGAGGCCGGCTGGTAGTCAGGTTTCCCGAACTCTGTGGTAGCTCTCAGAGAGGCTGATTCCATCAACAGCCGAAAAATATCAGAGTACTAACAGTGCCATGTTGCGCATGGATGGTGTCCCTGTTTGTACTTTTGGTGTGCATTGCAGAGGCCACATTTGGAGCCCTTTGTTACGGCTTAGGGTTTATTAATAGTAATGAGGCTATTGCTTAGTTGTTAAATAGTGTACTGAGTACTATCTACACTTGAGTCAAGTTCTTTATAAATTTAAAATGACTAAAGTACCTAAAACTAAAAAACACAAAAAACCATCTTCATCACCAAGTTCTCTAAACCTATCATTTACTAATATTCGTGGTCTTCGAAGTAACTTTTCTTCTGTTGAGTCTTATCTCTTGCAAAGTTCACCAGACCTACTTGCTCTTTGTGAGACTAATTTGAGTTCGGCTGTCCCATCTTGTGATCTTAGTGTTGATGGTTATCTTCCTTTAATTCGTAAAGACTCCAATAATCACATGCTTGGCCTGGGCATTTACATTCGTAAGAACTCACCCATTTGCCGTGAAACTAGGTTTGAATCTACAGACTATTCATTTATGTGCTTTCGTTTAGCACAACTTCACTCTATCGCCTTTCTCTTTGTTCTATATCGCTCTCCTTCATCCCTAGATTGCACTATTCTTGATGTTATTTCTGATCAAATTGACCAAGCCCTTTCTCTTTATCCATCGGCCAATATCGTCGTTGTTGGTGACTTTAATGCCCATCACACCGATTGGCTTGGCTCTAGTGTCAGTGACTCTGCTGGCGTTAAGGCCCTCAACTTTTGCCTTTCTCAATCTCTAACTCAAATAGTCAACTTTCCAACTCGTTTTCCAGACAACCCTAATCATTTACCTTCTCTACTCGACTTATGTCTTGTTTTGGATCCTAGTCAGTGCTCAATTTCTCCACATTCACCCTTAGGTACTTCTGATCACGGTTTGATCTCTCTAAAACTATTATCAAATTCTTCTACTTCATCAGAATCCCCCTATCATCGTACCACATACAACTACCTTAAAGCTGACTGGGACTCTTTCCGTGATTTTCTGACTGATGGCCCTTGGGTAGAAATCTTTCGTCTTCCTGCTGACAAATGTGCTTCTTACATAACTTCGTGGATTCAGGCTGGCATGGAATCTTTTATTCCCTCTCGACGATTCCAGGTCAAGCCTCACTCTTCTCCTTGGTTTTCCTCACATTGCGCTGCAGCAATTTCTAATCGAAACCGTTACTTCCATATCTATCAGCAAAACAATTCTCCAGAAAACAGACATCTTTTCACTATCGCCAGAAACCATTGTAAAAAGGTTTTGTCTGACGCCAAAGCTCGGTATTCCCAGGTCATTAAATCTCGTATCTCATCACAAAAATTAGGCTCTCGAGACTTCTGGAGAATCTTTAACAGTATCAATAATAAGAGCAAATCTGTTATTCCTTCTCTCTTGTATGGTTCAGACTTTGTCACCTCACCTAAAGACAAAGCTGAATTGTTTGCTAAGAACTTTTCATCAATATCATCTCTTGATTCCACTAGTTGCGTTTTACCTGACATAGCCGTCAAACAGGTTGATCCCTTGCTTGACATTCGCATCACTTCAGCTTCTGTATCTAAAGTAATTTCCTGCTTAGACTCTTCAACAGCTTGTGGTCCTGACAACATTCCTGTTGTAGTTTTGCAGAGGTGTTCTCCGGAGCTTTCATCCATACTTTCTAAACTATTTAACAAGTGCTTATCAGAGTCTTGTTTTCCATCATGCTGGAAAGCAGCATCTGTTATCCCTATTTTCAAAAATTCCGGAGAGCGATCTGATTCATCTAACTACCGTCCCATTAGTCTTCTTCCTGTCATAAGCAAGGTTTTTGAATCTTTAATCAACAAACACTTAATCTCTCATCTTGAATCAAATAACTTACTTTCTGATCATCAATATGGATTTCGGTCTTCTCGTTCTACAGCTGATGTGCTAACAGTAATAACCGATAGGTTTTACCGTGCATTAGATAGAGGTGGAGAGGTTAAGGCTATCGCACTTGACATTTCTAAAGCTTTTGATAAAGTTTGGCATGCTGGTCTTCTCCATAAGCTTTCTTCTTATGGTGTAGCTGGTAATGTCTTTAAGATTATTGAGTCCTTTCTTTCCAATCGTAGTATAAAAGTTGTCCTCGATGGACAACACTCTTCTTCACATCCTGTAACTTCAGGGGTTCCTCAAGGTTCAATCCTTGGCCCTATACTCTTTTTAATTTACATTAACGATCTTCCAGATATTCTCACATCTAAGGTGGCATTATTCGCTGACGACACTACCATTTACTCTTGTCGTGATAAGAAACCTACACTCTCTGATTGCTTGGAGGGGGTATCTGAGCTTGAAAAGGATCTCACTTCTGCTACAGCATGGGGCTCACAGTGGCTGGTGAACTTTAATTCAGATAAAACTCAATTTTATTCGGCCAATCGTTATCGTAATAATTTAGATCTTCCTATATTTATGAATGGTAATGTACTAGATGAGTCATCTACCATTCATCTTCTAGGATTAACTCTTACTTCTGATCTTTCTTTTAAACCGTATATCAAATCCATTGCAAAATTAGCATCTGCTAAGGTTGCATCTCTTTATCGAGCTCGACACTTTCTTACTCCAGATTCTATTCTCTATCTCTATAAATCTCAAATCCGTCCCTGTATGGAATACTGTTGCCACATCTGGGGCGGATCTTCTAGTGATGCTCTTTCTCTTTTAGACAAGGTGCAAAAACGAATTGTAAACATAGTTGGACCTGCTCTGGCAGCCAATCTCCAACCTTTGTCACATCGTCGTAATGTTGCTTCTCTTTCTCTTTTCTACAAATACTATAATGGGCACTGCTCTAAAGAGCTAGCGTCCCTTGTGCCATCTACTAAAATTCATTCTCGTGTTACTCGCCATTCAATTAAGTCTCATCCTTTTTCTGTGACTGTTCCTAAGTGCTTCAAAAACTCTTATTCTTCTAGTTTTTTTCCTCGAACATCAGTTCTTTGGAATTCGCTTCCTTCATCTTGCTTTCCTGATTCATATAATTTGCAATCTTTTAAGTCATCAGTCAATCGTTATCTTGCTCTACAGATTTAGTCTTTTCTCTTCCAGTAACTTCCAACTCTTATAGTGGTTGCTTGCAGCCTTGTTGGAAGTGAAGATGTTAAAAAAAAAAAAAAAAAAAAAAAAAAAAAAATAGGTAATGTTCTACTACCAAGTCCGATCATTCTTCCTAGAGGTAATTTAGCTGTTATATTTTTTTATTTTCTTATTTGTAAAATTAAAATATTGTATTTAAAGAGATTGTATTTCTTGCAAGAGTTGCTTAGGTTTTACTTATTTTTTTTTTGGTAGTAACTTGCTTGTTTAACACTAGGAGCTATACTTTTTTTAGTTTGTTTTTTGTTTGTTTTTTTGTAGTAGTACGGCATCAATATTTGTAAAATTAATAGATAACTTATAATTAGTTATTTCCTCAGAGGGCTGTCAGACAAGCAAAAAGATCATCTTGGTATTTCCCTAAACTGTTTAACCTTGCAAAAAATTTAATCTTTTTACTGTAAATATGTAGACTTTTTATGTAAGTGCTCTCTATGGCGAACGGTGTTACTTTTTTTTAGATTTTATTGACGATCCATCAGAAATTGTTATTAAAAGAAATAATTTGATTGCGACAATAGTACTTTTAAAGAGACAGTTTAGTGTTTCGTTTGAACTGAAACCATCTTTGTATAAAACAGGATGGCATAGTGTTTTTCATATGACAATAGGTCAAAATGTTGAAAACTATGGCGATAGAAATCCAGGTGTATGGTTTAACAATGATGGATCTGGAAAATTGCACATTGCGTTCAGTATAAACGGAAACAGCAATTATTTCTTCACTACAAAATCGTCATTACCCCTGAACGTATGGTCAAAAATAGAAATATTTCAGAGACTTGAATTTTTAGTATATGTTTTTGAAGTAAAGATTAATGAAAATGTCGTATTTACTATCAATAATAACGATGCACGCGATTTTAAAAATGTTAAAGTTTACGTTAGTGATCCATGGTATGATGCTCAACCCGGTTTAGTAAAAAACGTCAAAATTATCAACAGCATTTAAGTAGACAATCCTGCCTAAAGAACTTGTAATACTGTTTTGGTGGTGTTAAAAATAATAAATATTTTTTTTAGTTGTCTTTTTCGTATTTGATCTGATAGCATTAGTGACTTAATGGGGCCCAATATTAATTGACTACTAGATCTTGTCACCACTAGAACGTTAAATAATAATAAATTAGCAAGATAAATACATAATATGACAAAATATAAATATTAATTATATATATATAATGCTAAAATAAGATTTTTATTCAATATATAGTCAACATATATTTTTATTCAGTAAACATAATAATATAGTTCCATATTTTAAGAAAAGATTTAGGTGGTCCTATACCATTAAAAATTAAAAATTTCAATTTTTTTACATAATTTTATGCAAAATTTATACCAATTTACGATCTTTTAATAAATTTAATAAAATTTAGAGCAGTTGGTATATTTTTAATTTTAAACAAAGTGCTGAAAATATGATAAATATTTGGTAGCTACGCCCCTAGCAACGGCGTTTTCAAAATCAAAAAAGTTTTCTCTCATCTTTTTTACCCACTGCTAAAATAAATAATTGAAAATGTTACCACTGTATTTTTAAAGTATAGTTTGCCAACAACAACAAACTCATTTTTTGACTTTACTTAGCAAGAGCGAAACGATATTAACCTCGCGCTTCATTTAATTTGTTTAAATTTAGTAAATTGGTACTACATTTAAAATTTTGATATGGAATTCAAAGAAAGTCAGGTTACAAACCTTTAAAAAGAGTATTTCATGGAAATCAATGTGTAGTTAATCCACCAGAAACATTAAGTTAACCAAAATCTACTTCAGAAATTATTATAAATGAAGCTCCATGTTCAGCAAGTGGTTTAAAATTGAAAAATATTAATCTGAAGGAAGCAGATTTGAATATATCTTATTTTAATATTTTGGCAGAAACATAGTTATATTCAGTTTGCTCAGAATGTAATCAAATGGGATTATGTACTCAAAATTTAACAACAGAAAAGAAAGGATTGGCAAATAAACTGAGATATTCCTGTACTTATTGTCAATGGAGTAAAAATATTTTTATCTCCAAAGAAATTATTTTACCAAACAAAAGTGCTCAAAGATGTTTTGACATTAATACTAGATATCATGCATTGATTCAGACCTTTTCGCGTCTTTTTGCAAAGCCAATGTAGATGAAGTTGTTGAAAGTACTGTATCTTAAGAAGAGACATGACAAAAAGAGATCATGAACCTCTTAATGGTTTTGTTACAGCAATACCTTGTAATGACAATTAGGTTATTGACTATTGAAGTATTTTCAAAAAAGAATCAAGCTTGCCTGTTATGGCGTAATAAAAAAGGTACAAACAAATACCAAATATAGAACAGTAGCCATAACTGTTCAATAAACCACAATGGCTCAGAAGGCTTAATGGAGACACAAGGAGCTATTGCAATTTTTCATCAATCATTTCAACAAAATGGTTTGCGCAATAAAAATTATGTTGGATATGGTGATAGCTCGTTTCTTAAAGTTGTAGAGGGTAAGCTATATGGTGAAGATTTTGTCATTAATAATCTTGAATGTGTTGGTCACCTACAAAAAAGACATGGGAATAGACTACGTTCACTACGACAGAGTATGAAAGGACAAATTTGAGTAGATAGGAAAAAACTTTTTGGAAAAGGACGCTTAACTGGTTCTGCTATTAACTTACTGCAAAACTACTTTGACATGTCCATCAGAGCAAAATCTGCAGTTTATAGCATGGAAAAAAAAAATTAATGAAGTTTTGTTTCATTGTAGTGATTGGAATACTAAAGCTCAAATACATCTAGTATTGTTCAAGACCCAATCATAGTTGGTGCAAATGGTACTAACTTATCACTGCCTGCTGCTATTAGGTATACTTTAAAACCAATTTTTATGGAACTAAGTACTGATTGTTTATTCATTAAATGTTTGCGTGGAATAACCCAGAATTTCAATGAGTCACTTAATGCAATGATGTAGCCTTGATGCTCTAAAAGTCAATATTGCAGTCAAAAAATGATTAAAATTGACGCTTGTCCAGTAATTATACATTTTAATGATGGTTTTGATGGGCTTCATAATATATTTAAATTTGTAAACATTACTCCTGGAGCTTCATTTTGCATAAGTGGTTAAAAACTAGATTTATGTAGAATAAAAAAAGCTAACAGGAATTCAAGTAGTTCCTGTAAAAAGCAAAGAAAAGTTTTAAAAATTAAAGGAAAGGGTTTTATTGATTAACAAACAAACACAAACGACTGCATATTGATTATTTATGCCCTCCCATCTTATTTACGTCAGTTGCAGACCCCCTCTTCCCCTCCGAGCGTACGTACTTTATGGACGATTCCTAATACAAAACTTTTTGTAAAATTGTATTCAATTAGTAAATATGGTTATTTAAACAAAGTTATTAAGGAAAATAGTAATTGGAGTATTTCGGGTTGTAACATGGTTTATTAGGCACGTAAATTTTTTTATTTATTTATCTGTGCATACAGTAAAAAGTGTTTTAAGGTCTAATGCTAGTGAAACAAGTTTGATGGTATAGGACCACCTTAAAGAAGTTATTCAAAAGCATTGAAAAATCCGCTAAAAATTACAAAATACTGTGTAGTGAGATCTTAACGTCGCTAAGACACGCTTGATTGCAACCAAAGAAAAAACAAAATATCAGCTAATCACCGATGTCAAAAAAAGATAAAAGGAATTTATTTTTGGGTCTGCATTTTGAAATCAACTCATTTCATTTATTTAATAAGTTATCACCTTTATATGTTAAAATGAGAAATTTTTTGAATAAGCAAAGATCGCAAATTTTTGACGAGGCGTTATAAGTATTGCAACGTCATACAATTTTCCACATAACTAAGGGTGTAAACATTTTGTCTTTTATGTCCCAAATTTCTTTAGACAACTCTGTAACATTTTTATCTTTGCTAATGTTAAAAGATTTTAGGCGACTCGCATACAGAGATTTGAATGGAGTTTCACATAAGCCAAACATTTCACATAATTAAATGGAGTTTCACATGACTAACAATCATGGTTTAAAAAAACTACGCCTTAAGGTGGTGAGGCGTACGCCTCAATGCAAGGCGTTGAATTTTCGCACTAAGGCGTAAGCCTCATTCAAATAATAAAACGTTCGCGTTCATTGGTTCGATGAGGCGCTGAAACGCTGAGGCTTTCCTGAGGCGTCGCCTCAGGAGTTGTCCATTAATTACGTCAACAAAATATGAGGATGGGGTCTGAACTTTTTTGACAATTGTTGACAAGGGGGAGGGGTGAAGGTCATTTAAAGTTGATGTCAACAATTTTTTCAGCTTCATTGCTTAAATAACGGAAAATTAGGGTGAGTTTGTATCGTAGTTTCTTTGTATAGGGAGGGATGGGGGTAATAAAAACATAATTTTATAGGGGGGTCTCTGAAAATTTGACAAATCTTTAGGAGGGGGAAGTAAAAATTTCAAAAAAATTGCTGAAGTTATTAATGGACAACGCCTTATTTACAATGAACCTAAAAAGGCCACGTATGTCGCACGTGAACTTTGTTTTCCCTTATAAGGGCATTATTGTCCGATTTCGGCCCCCGAAACCCTCCACTGCAAGAAACCCTTTGTCTGGCCTTCTGTGCCATCTTCTAGCTTTCTGCGCTGCATCGAGCTTCGATTTTGGGCTGCTCGTAGCTCATCGTATTGCATCGAGCTCCGCTTCGGCCATCGACTCTAGCTTTTAGTCTTGCTCCAACAACATTTTTTAAAATTACAGTTTGCTTCAAACGTTTTTAAGAAATTATTTTAGTTCTAGAAATGGGTTTATAGTTAGTAATTACGAAACAGACAACGTATTTAAATTCGATTTGAGTTGGCGCGTTCATATGGAACACATTATATAAATCGATTAATTGAAAGCTAAAATAAGATTTTAAAAAAATTATTTAATTTATTGAGTTCGTTTTTAAACTTTGATAATGTTTTGTTATATACATGTATTATTATGAACATAATATGGTTAAGTGGGCGGATAATAACTTTTATTAACAAAATGAATGTATTATAATGATAATTGTGGGTTTAATAAAATTTATAAACATATATCTAAATTATATATTCTGATATTGTATAATTAAACCGTATCTTATACTCATTTGCCCGTATAATTGTATTAACTAATCATTAAATTCATTACATGGAATTGCAAAATCAATTACGGCTCGCTTTGATTGATCATTTCTTTTTTTTCTTTACTATTTTATAAATTTACAGCTTTAAAAACTTACAGCTTGTTTGTACAAATAATATTGTTTTCATTTTACATACTTTTTCTATCCTTTTTTAAAAAATTACTACTTTAACATTTTTTTTTTCGATATCTTACCTCATCTGAAGCCTTAAAAATTGTAAGGTTCGACCTCTAATTGTCCTGAATATATGATCCACCATTTAACGATGATCCACCTTGAGTGAGCCCATCCACTTTCTTCAGAGCCCGAAAATTCTCTCGGCAGACCTGCTGCATACCTTAAAATATTATGTTATGAGGTATGCAGCAGGTCTTTTGAGAGAAATTTCGGGCAATGAAGAAAGCGGATAGGCTTCAGTGTATAGGAGGAAACGTTTTAACGTAATAAATTTTTCAGCAATGTATTTGCATTTTTGTTTGTTTGTTTTGTGTTTGCATTTGATTTTCATAAATACATGCATACAGGGCCGTTCGTACAGCCGTATAACATGCTTAAAGGGTCGTTCCGAGTTGAATAGGGTTCTGCGATAATTAAAGTGTAAAATTCATTGCACAGACTTTTATCTCCTGCTTGGGGAACTGTCTAGCCCCCAAACTCGCGGCTATACTCGTGTGGCTGACGATCTTCAGCTCAGCAAAAACCTTTGTATACTCTCGTTCCCGATGGGTAATTTTTAAGAAAACCTCTTTAATTACAGCCCCAGTCCTAAAACTGTGGTGTCCGGCCCTGAATTACTTGATTAATCTTCATTAAAAATTTAAATTGCAATCACTTCAAATATTTTATTCACATATTTTGACTA